GCCCTGCGCCCGCGCCGCCTCGGGTCCCGCGGTCCCGCCGGCTGCCCGCGCCGCCGCGAGCCATCGATGGTACAGCGCATGTGGGCCGAGACGGCCGGGCCCGCGGGGGGCGCCGAGCCGCTATTTCCCGGCTCCCGGCGGAGCCGCAGCGTGTGGGACGCGGTGCGGCTGGAAGTGGGCGTCGCCGACAGCTGTCCGGTGGTGCTGCACAGCTTCACGCAGCTCGACCCGGACCTGCCCCGCCTGGAGGTGGGTGATCGGGCTGGGCCGGATCGGGGCCGGGGTCCGCAGCTGGCACGGAGGTGGGGAGTCCTTCCTCAGAAGACCCCCTGCTTGGGGCAGCGAGGTGGACACGGTGGCTGTCCGCACGCCCCGCCCAGCTGTTAGGGGCAGGGCTGGATTCCCATGTCCCCCCGTAGTTCATCCCAGTGCCTGCCCCCACCTAGCGCAGGTGTGGCAGCCAAGTAGACCTTTAAACCCCGTGGTACTGTCACTGGTTGCGTTGCATGTCCTGTGAGCATCCTAACCGCAAGGGCCTGGCCTTATGTCACACCCCTATCAACCGGGCCTGCATGGGCACGGTACAGACCTGCAAGTGGTTGGAACAGCACAGTCCTAGACTCCCCAGGGATAAGTGGGACTTGAGGGGCCTCTGGTCAGCCCTTCTGAGACAGGCAGGGGTTTCAGTGACCCAGGGCTACTCAGAGGGGGCAACAGAAGGCAGGGAGGGAGGGAGCTGGTCGCTAACATTCCAGACCAGGTGTCCAGGCAGCGAGAGGACAAGACTTCATAAGACCTGTGACTCATTGCTGCCTGATTGTGCTGACACCCTGAATGTGTAAGACTTTGGGAGGATTTGGAGAAAGAAGGCCATCTGCCTGTTGTGTGTAAAGGTGGGAGTCGTAGGTGAGGTCTGCAGCGTGTTTCTAGTGTGTTCAGAGCAGGGGGACCCTCGGTGCACCCAGCAGTGCCCTTCGCCTCTCACCCTGCTGTGCACCTGCTGGCCGTGAGCCTTTGCCCTGTTCTGTCTAGACAGGGCTGGACAAAATGTACCTCTCTGTTCATTGGGAGCTCTTGGTAGAGAACCCCAAGCCTGGGAGGCCTCCTGAGCTTGGCAGGTGTCGGAACCAGGCATGTTCTCAGAGCTCATCCACCCACTGGTCTCATCCTCATGGCTGCAGGAGAGGGACCCCAGGGAGCATGGAGGTGGGCAGCCAGCCACCAGCCCTGCACTCAGCACTCATCTGGCTTCCATTATGCCTGGCAGCGCCTCCGGCTTTGTGTGCTGGAAGGGTCTGGCCAGAGCACTCACAGGGGCCGCAGATTTCTTTCTCTCTCTGTCTCTGTCTCTGTCTCTGTCTCTCTCTCTCTGTCTCTGTCTCTCTCTCTCTCAAATAAATAAATAAATAAATAAATAGATAAATAAATAAATAAATAAATAAATAAAT